CAGAGATTCCCACTCTCCCCAGGCATCCATCAGGCAAGGTGAAACCTCTGAGCTGATGGGAAGTGAAGCATTACAGGAGGCAGCTGGATTTCAAACCACATCCAGTTTTCTGATCAAAACCTCCAACTGCAACAGTTCACACACACACACCTGACTTCGTCTTAAAAGAGGATGAGCAAAATTTTCGCTCCCTCAGGCAGCAAAAATCACTTTTCCCCTTCCTTACCTCCTCGCTGCTCATCGATTCGGAGCTGGATGTGCCACGATGGCACTGCACGATAACGTTCGAGACCAATTCCCCAGAGACCTCCACAACGCTTCTGCAGAAAGTGGTTGGCTGTAACAGAAATAGGGCAAATCTCGCAGAGCAAAGCTACAATTCAGACCCTCTCGTGGGAGTTTCGTTGGGAGTGGGAACCTGCACGGGAATTTAAAAAACAAATTCCAAAAGGAAGAAACTGAAAGAAAATTATACACCTAATCAATTACTGGAGCAGACTGCGGTCAGATGAATATATTCTGGCAGCATTGCGTTGCCTAAAACCAAGACTGTGATTGAGGATTGCTGACGTAATGGAAGCTTTAAGATTGTGTTTCCTGTTACAACATCTACAAAGCCCCATCCTTTAGGACAAGTTAATGATCTACCCAGCATAGAAAAGTGAATAGCAGACCATCTGGCAACGTGGTTTGTACTACACAACGTGACTTGTTTGATACAAAAAGTTTCTCTGAGTGATAAACACCGAGTGTGGTCAGCAAAGCCGAAAGAACAGCCTGGAACTGCCAAGGAAAGGTAATTCCGGCCATGGGGAGGATCAGGACCACCAACTCATTGACCACCTACCCAAATTATATCACCTACTCAAAAAGAACAATAAACTGAGCATGTGAAGTAATTTACACGTAAAGCAAGAGAAAATAACAATGAATATGTAAACACGCTAAAAATTTGGGGGAAATGTTACAAATATGAATGATTACAGTATTTAACTAAGTTTCCATCCCGGGCCGGGTGTGCACGTCGGTGGAGATATCCTCCAGGCACCCGGTACTGCAATGAAGCAATATCTGATTTCTAATGCTACAAATTGTCTTGGAGAGTTTCTGTCTGGATTTTCGATGACAATATGACACAAGTTAGTGCTCCACAACCGCTGTTAGCCATACGAAGCCTTGAGGTAGAAGAAAATCCCCAAATCCTTTCCCTGGTTCCAGCATCACCAATCAAAACCAGAAGAGCCGTGCAGGGCTATGCTGATGGCAGCTCCAGCTCTAGAACTTAAACAACCTTTAAAGAAGTTGTCTCTATGATTTGACAGAAGCTCCAGCAAAACCTGTCACCCAAGTGTGCAAAACAGAGATCCTCACACTATTTTTAACACCGTACCACCCTAAGAAGACAAGAGGAGGGATGGTGTCTGTTTAGGATACAGCGATAACTTTGCAGCAGCCAACTCCTGTGTCTAGCAACAACCATCGATTCCATGTTGTCCCATCACACACAAGCTGCTTAGCTCAAGAGCAGTGATACTCAAAAGATGTTTACCCCTCTCTTCATGAGCTAAACTACCTCCTGAGGTAGTAGCATGACTCATGAGCCATGAGGAAAGCCTTTAGGCCATCTGTTCGGTGTCTTCCCAGAATCCCTCCTCTTCCCTAAAGTCTGTGCCCGGGAAGGACAGAGAAGTTTGTCAGCATTCACAGAGGAAAAAGAGGTGAGAAGAGCCCAGCTCGGAGCCAGAGCCGCACAATGAAGCGGAGATAATCTCTGTGAAAGTCTGGAACACAGCACGGCATCGTCATTGCACACAGGGGCTCAAGAGCTGCTCCATACGCTTTGTAAGACTCGTGCAAACACTTAGGAGACCACCACTCAGCAGCTTGCGATGGGAGCCACGCTCTGGCAAAAATAACGGTGCACAGAGAAGTCCAGATTCAAAGATGATGTATTTACATCAAAGCCGGTCAGCTAAGAACCAGAGCACAGCAAGAGCTGTATCAAAAGCCCGATCCGTGTTTATTTCAGGCTGAAAAGAGTGTTGAAAATCTGAAGATTAGCACTGTCAGCATAGAGTGGAAATCTGCACTACGAAGGAAGATAAGCCTTTATGTGGTGACTAGATGCATGATAGACAAAAGCAGGTCAAACGTCAGTTTTTCCACACTCTTAGAAAAGCAGGCACACCTTCCTTCCTTCCACTCCTGAGGAGAAGGACTTGGGGGTGATGGTTGATAAGAAGCTCAACATGAGCCGACAACGTGCGCTGGCAGCCCAGAAAGCCAACCGTGTCCTGGGCTGCATCCAAAGCAGCGTGGCCAGCAGGGCGAGGGAGGGGATTCTGCCCCTCTACTCTCATGAGACCCCACCTGCAGTACTGCCTTCAGCTCTGGGGTCCCAAACACAAGAAGGACATAGAACTGTTGGAGTGGGTCCAGAGGAGGCCACGAAGATGATTCGAGGGCTGAAACACCTCTGCTATGGAGACAGACAGAGAGAGTTGGGGCTGTTCAGCCTGAGGCTCTAGGGACACCTTCTAGCAGCCTTCCAGTACCTGAAGGGGCCTACCAGAAAGCTGGAGAGGGACTTTTTACAAGGGTGTGTAGTGATAGGACAAGGGGCAATGGCTTTAAACTGAAAGAGGGCAGATTTAGATAGAAGGAAGGAATTCTTCACTCTGAAGGTGGTGAGGCACTGGAACAGGTTGTCCAGAGAAGCTGTGGATGCCCCATCCCTGGAAGTGTTCAAGGCCAGGTTGGATGAGGCTTTGAGCAACCTGGTGTAGTGGAGGGTGTCCCTGCCCATGGCAGGGGGGGTGGAACTAGATGATCTGTGAGGTCCCTTCCAACCTAAACCATTCTATGATTCGGTCCCAAAGTACACAGACACTTGCACTACACCCTACCCCAAGACATTTATCTCCTTTTTGGATTACAACAGTTCCTGTATTCCCACTGACCCTTCCCATCTAACACCCACTCCATGCCATAGGCTGTACTTGTTGGGGTTTGGTTTTGTTTTCAGAAGCACCAATCATTCTTCATCCTTCAGCGTTCCAGCCAGCAGTGTTCCAACACATCTTGAGAGCACCCTGCACGGCACGGGGGGTTCACAGTCACACCAGAGGCACTTACCACGAAAGGCCCTATTTTGAAGTCGCAGGTGAACGGGTCTCTCCCTGAAGCTTTCGTGCACACAGTTTCACGAATGCTGAACTGTAGCTCTAGTCTATAAGCATCGCTGTTCCACATGTCAACCTGGTGAAAGGAAGGTCAATACAACGTATAATTAGTGCCTGTCATTCTTCTACAGCCACTACATGGCAACCTTGCTGCTTTGTCAAGCAGAAGCAAGACACGAGGGCGTTATGGGTCAGTGCCCAATTTAGAGCAGATGACTGTGCGTGAGAAAGGCTGAGGAGTTACTCTCTTAGGCAGACTTAGTGACAGCAACATAGAAGAGCTTTCTATGGGGGTTTCACTTGAAACCCCACTGCCATTGTGGGATCTTTGGGACTACCGTGGGAACTCTACTTCTCAGAGTCGGTTGGGGGGACTATAGCTGTCAAAGGTAGATAAGCATAGTGTTACCCCAGCATGCTACCCCCTCTTTTGTGGGAGCCAGGGTGCTAACAGCTCTGCTTTGGATATCTAGACTGCTGGGAAGCCCATTGCAAATATGTGACTTGGAAAATACATCACATGACTGCAAGCAATTAAATTACTGCAGTTTATAGAGTCGCCCCTTAACTCAGGTGCTTCAATGGGCAGCATGCACGCAACACTGCAAGCTTTAGAGAGTTTGGTTCCTTTTGTTAGGATTTGCTTTTCTCCTCCTCACAGTCTAATCAATATTTTAGATCAAGATGGTAAACCCCAAAAAAATCCCCCCAAAAAACTCCAATCCAACAAACAACAAATCCACATTGCTTTCAAGTACTACTTCCCCCCCCCCAACTAGATCAATCCAGAAATCATCTTGTTATTCATTCTTGCAGAAGACTTGATACATGCCATGTATAACAATGGTTATAAGGATGTTTAGGAACATGGACACACTAAGTTTAAATTAGGAAGTTTTAATTGCTTAACTCTGGATATCAAATATAAGATCTTAGCAACACAGATTAAAACAGATATGGGTTTCCTGCCTGCATTTAGACACAAGCAGATTTAAAACAGAATTGGTGTGTAGAGACAGGTGACAAAAATACAGGTTGGAAAGAGAGTCCCGAATGTGTTTGTGGTGGCATTTAATTAACGGTGTGGACATTCAGCTGAGACCTTCAGATGAACCAGGTGACTTTATGCCCAAAGCAAAGCAGTTAGCTGAAGGTATTTAAAAACACTGGTTTTCTTACAAGACATCCCTCAGAGATTTCTATTCCAGAGGTGGAAAATTTGAACTCCTAAAGCATTCATCATTGTAAACCAACATACAAAGAATATTCAGGTTCCTAAAGCTGTAACTTCGGATAATGCCCCAAGTCTGCCCTCTTCCAAGCTGCATCAGAAAACTCCAACTAAATCTGAGTTTCCAGGGTTGGGTGAAAAAGAGTTTTCCATTACAGCAAAGCATATTTCAGGTAAAGGATCTCCACTGTCTGCGCACTTACTCTTGTGACGTGGCTCCTGACGACACCATAGAGGTTTGTCCCCCACGACTGAGAATTGATCCTTGCAATGGAAGCATTGAGAGCCTCTTCTGTGACAGGGAGTTCATAGTCGTACACTGGAAACCCTGAGACGGAAGCACAGTTCCATTAGAAGCTCGTTGTGGTCTTGTACTTCTCTTCCCCACGTTACCGTAAGACAGAGGACACGGCTCCATTCTCAGCAACTTACCTAAACACGAGAAAACGCCCAGTGCCAGGACAAAAATTAAGATCCTCATAGTGTGCCTTTCCAAATCCTCTGGTCTTTTCCCTTTGTAAGCAAGGATTTCTAGCGCATATTCTCTGTCTTTATATAAATGCAGCCTTGATCCTACACCTGACCTTCCTGTGTCCAAGCTCTGCTACAAACGTTGCACTTTAAACAGAATTGATCCGACAGTAAATATTTGCTGTTGGCTTTTCTCCATTTAGCAGTAGTTCTCTGATAAGAGATGGGCTGCAGTGCCTTTTTCCCAGGACTGTGACTAAAAGGAAGCACCAAATTCCTGATATCTCCACAGCCAAAAGCAGAATCCAGTTACTTTGTTCACTTTTAGCCATTAGTTATCCATTTAAAGCTGGTGAGTCAACTCTTCCCTTAGTACCAGACCCAGCACCTTCATGTCTCGGCAGCAACTGGAAGCACTTACAAGCTTGCATTCCCTGAGGAGGGGAAAATGCCCCAGCACAGAATGGGAGTCCGCCCTCTTGGACCTATCTGACACCACCACCCTGCAGGCCAAAGCATTCAGCAGAAGCCTCTCAGATACAAGCCACACAGCAGACTCTTGGGACACCCCAGGCCTTGCAAGCTCCTGGGACCTCTGCTATTCGGCACGTGCCAGAAGAGCTCCCACCTTGCTTTGACTCCTGCCAAGCCTGAGCCCAGCTAATCAAGGCTGTGGACATTTGGTTTCCCCCGTCAGATCCCCCTGATGCTCAGGCTTCAGTTTCAGCACAGAAATTAACAGGCTTTTTGAAAAATGATGGCTTGACTTCAGTTCTGAAAACACCACGAGGGATTACAGGGACGAGCAAGACACGACACCTCAGCACTTCACTAACTGGAGCCACGTGCTACTCTTGGTTTCCAGACACAGGCAACGTATCTTATCGCTCTACCACAAGTACCCCACAACAGAGCCACTGAAACACTTCTAGCAAGATTCAGAGATGCATCTGGGTTTTACGTGCTTAAATGCTGCCCTTGGGAGTTGGGGGGGAAACTGCTGCCTTCTGACAAGCTTGCCCATTGCTGACTGTTCACAAGGCAGAGACATGTCTAAGCGTGTTCCTTTTGAGGATTCCATGTACGAAATTCCTCGATTAACCTTCAAATCACAGTTGCACTCAAATTATGCGTCATAGGGTCACTTGAAGAACTTCCCAAATGACAAGCGCTCAAGGAAAGACATGGGACCACACAAAGTACCAGGGCTCAGATTTAAGAAGAAAGAGGATCAGGTTGCTTCTGGTTGCCAGATTGCAGAACGGCAGCCTACCACCAGGTTGCACACTGTGGGGGATCTGACTCCTTGGGCGACAGATGGAGTCAGGTTTCACTCATCCTGCAAGTACTTCAGGGCAAAGACCCACAAAGGTGATGCACTTCTACGACGCTATGGGAACAACTGCCCGGGTGTGAGTCTTCATGGCCACCGGATCCATTTCCCGTTGTTGCTGCAAGATCCTAGAAAAGGAACCCGTTGAGCCATGGTACATGCCAGAAAAGAGTGTGTGTGCCAGCTGGCAGAGCCGCACGCGAGCATGGAGACTGTGCTGGGAATAAGCCATGCCTGGGGAAGACACACAGACACAGCACCGAACAGGGACCTCGCTGGGGCCACGTTACTGGCTAGCGCCACGCCACGTGTGTGCCATCCCACCCCAGCACTGCTTCGAGAGAGGTGGATGCGGGTGCGTGTTCCGAAAAGGGGTGGGCATTTTTTGCAAGCCAACTTGGATTTCAGCATTGGGAACCTGATCAAAAACGCCGATTGAAACTTTGCCCGGTCAGAAAGCCAGAGCTTCTTCTGTACATCCATTCTGTTTGTCCACTGCAGCTGAAGACATGCTCTCCTGGCTCTTGGACACACTCATCTCTAGCAGAGACTACCCTTCCTGCTTCCCAGTTCTCCTTAACTGCTGTCTGTGCCAGGGAGAGGCCACCAATATTTTTCTCCACTGCAGCCACGCCAGAGCACCACAATGTGGAGGATTTAAACCCAGCTGGAGATTCTCAAGAACAGACTGTTGCACTACGCCCAACTTTTCCAACTCTCCACTACGACCATAGCCAAGACCACGCTCCCTCAGATCAAGGAGGAAACCTTCTGATAGACTGTTTGACCTGCTTCTGCGATGGTTTCTCTGCGATCAATCATGTTGCTGCCGCGGTAACAAAACACACGAAACGAGACCGCTCAAACCACTTGTATGGAAAGAACTTGGCATTGGGAGTCCCAAGGTCCTTATTGTTTTCCAGGACCAACTTGCTGCAGTATTTTGGATAACATTTATCTTTCAACTTCATCCCTGGAAGAGGAACCATCTGCCTCTTGCATGGAGGGACCGGTTAATATTCCACCAGAACCTGAACATGTAAAACTGCTCCCTAACTGCTGAGCCAGAGCATTGTGGCCAGTCCAGCAGTAATTTTAATTATTGAACAGGGTTTAAAGATTTTCCTCTTAGAGCAGCTACTAGGAAAATCTGCCAGCAGGATTCTAGTAATGCTGAGTGGGGCTTGAAAATACAACTGTTTAACGAAATGCAAGTTCCTCTGCAGAGCTCTGGCCTTGCGTTGCAGCATCCAGGGAACGGAGATGTTTGCTATTCCACCTCTCTCAATCCTGGCTCATTAAGTCTGTAATGAGCTTGGTAAATATTTCTCATATCTCTCCGCAGATATATTGTACATTCTCGGAGATTCACGTTACAGCAAAATTGGTTTCATCCACTGCCTGTGTCAGAGGCGTGTTTGGGTTGAGGGTGCTCAACTCAGAGACAGGAGCTCAGGAAGAGGTAGAAACAGGGTGGGCAGGATGGGAATAGGGAGAAGGAAGAGTCCATGGAGAGAACAGGTTCAGGCACATGCTGGCAGGGGGAAAGGCAAGTCTGAGCAGGGAGTAGCATTGTCCCACTCACAGGTAATGCATCTCCACAGGTCCCACCTGCCCAGTGCTAACCGGCCAGGTGCAACCAACAAGAGAAGGACCCTTTATTTCTCTTTGGGGCAGGGGGTTGAAAAAAGCATTTGTAGGCAACCTCTGCTTTCAGTAGATTCAAGCAGTGGAACCAATTCTACATTTTCAGACTCGAAGCATCCCAAGTTCTGGGTTTCTGAGGAGGACTGAGGTTTTCAGCACATGCTTTGGACTGGAGACTAACTGATTCATCAGGTTAGGAAACACCACTAAATTTGTGAAGAGCGATTGGAATTCAATCTGAAATTCAATACTTTGCAGAAGGCCTTTCAGGATAAAATTCCCAAACCCAAGATACTCTTACAAGTTATTGGCACATTCAAAACAGAACATTGTTGTTTCATCTGTGCTAAGGAAACAACAGGCATGGCCACATAGACCGAGAACAACACGCTCTTGTAAGAGCAAAGCATCACTCCCCTCCTCTAAAGACCAGCTCCGGGCATTTGCTAGTAAGGACCCCACCACGAATTAGTAGGTGCTACAAGCCACCTTGGTGACCAGCACTATGGCACATGGAGAAGTGATGAAAGGTGAAGCCTTTGCCTCAAACCAAAAACAGGAGAAGGTGCAAAAAATGAGACGGTAAGTGTGTTTGACATGTTGCCTGCTGCCCTACTGCTGCCTTCCTCAGCCCTGGAATTACACGGGTTTGCACAGGAAGACAATCCAGACACTACGCAGCACTAGGGAGAAGCCACGGATTTAGTCTGCAGCTTTCTGAAGGCTTCTGATTGCAGCAGCAGCAACGGAGCTCACAAGGATAACGTTTCAGGATAACGTTTTTTTTCCTCAATTACCAAAATTGAAGAAGTTTGAGAATTTAGAGCGAGCTTGCAGAGCAGACAGAAAAAGCATATGGGCACGTACATATACATCTTTTTAGAAAGGACCAATGTTATAGTTAAACCTCTCAAAACTTCTAGAAACTTGAGAGGGAGTGAGATGGAGAAACACTCTCTTAATTTAAGGAATTTAAGGACTAAACTTTGACTCTACTACCAGCAAGCTGCAGATGCCTAGCACCTTGGGGTGGAGGGAGGGGGTTGCATCCAATTTAATCTACACAGCAAACAGGCACTATTTAAGGAAAGAGGAAATTAGAGAGCTTCTGTTAGATAACTATTTTCAGACCACTTTCACTCCCAGCAATCAAGTCAGCTCTGTTCCCAGACAAGTGGGAGAAAAATATTTTTTTTTGTGAGTGATATTTTGATAATTACAAGATGCATTTTCATTTAAAATGTAAACTGTCCAGCATCATCACATGTCTGTACCCTGAAAACAGTCTAAACATCATGCCAGGCACTGAGGAGCTATTCCCGATCCCTTGTCTCCTGGACATTCAGTTACCAGACGAAAGTTAATGATGTCCCTTCAGAGAAAAGGAATCACAGAATGCTTACAGTTGGAAGGAACCTCAAAGATCATTTAGTTCCAACCCCCCTGCCACCTGACTAAATGTAAAACAATGTGGTTTGTTTTTTTTTTTTCCCCTGGTTCTTGCAGCATAGCATTGGCAAAACCAAAAGGCTCCCTGAAAGTCCTTCTCCATGAGTAACTTCTTCCTCACACATGCAGAGGACTAACTGTTGCATTGACATCAGCTGATAGAGGTAGCAGAAAGGCTTCTAGATCTTGCTCAGACTAACAGAGGCTTTGAGACTTGATCCACAGTTCATAAAGGCCAACAGAGACTCAGCTTTGGTTCCTTTCATATCATCTCTGGATGTCCCTTGAGAAACTAGATGATGGTACAGCCAGTGCAGACACTGCCTGTGGGCTGCTGAACGTTCCCTTGACCACCTGGGATGGAGAATAAGTCCTCCTTCTTCCATTTCTTTAACTGCTCTACTAAGATGGTACCCTCTGCCATGCTGGCTGCATTTCTCAACCCCACATAGAGCCTTCTGCTGCAAAGCACTTGAAGATTTGGTGGTCAAAAGGAGAGTAAAGTGAAGACAAGTGAATATAGTGACACCTCAGCTTCCCACACCTACACTATTAAGGATGAAACCAGCTGCATTTTGTAA